AAAAAGCTGGCGGCCTGGCTCAAGTGGTAGAGCACCTGCCTACCAAACACAAGTCCCTGAATGCCAAATAAGAAAATGGGCACATGGGTCGTGGTGCAAGTCTGGAGTGCAGCCCAGATGGAGACAGGAGCATGAGTGTGTGTGTGGGGGGGGGGGGCTGGGGAGCCGGGTCATCGTGACACTAAAGCTCACTGATTGATGAAGCTTTCTGAAGGTTGTTTTGAGCTAGAACTAAAATTGACTCTGCCTCTGCGCTTAAAAGTCAGATGTAGAAAATCGGTGCTGGTGGGTGCTGGGGTTGTGAGCGGCACATACCAGAGCCGGCGGGGTGGGGTTGTGGAGGGAGAGGCTGAGAAGGCTGCTTTCCTTTTGAAGGATCGACATGTACGTGGAGGGGACCCTGGACCTGCTGGAGACGCTCATCATGCACCCGTTCTTAAAGCCGGCCGACCAGAAGAAGGACTTGGTGGCCATGGCCCACAAAGCCATCGCACTCTACTTCCCCGTGTTCGAAAAGGTAGGCTGTCCGGAGACTGGGCCATGGCACCACCCCACCGCCAGGGGCCGCCTCAGCGCCGGCCGACGCAGTGTGAGCAGAGTTGATGTGTCAGAGTCCCCCAGTCTCTGGGGACGGCATTTGTCCCAGTCAGTCATCACCCAGGCATTCACAGAGCTCCTATAAGATACAGAAGATCAAACTACTCACTCATTCATTCATTCATTCATTCATTCATTCAACAAGTGCTTTTTGATAAGCTCTTATCCATCAGCTAGTCTGCCAGGAGAACCATTTCCTTTTTATTTCTCTTTTGCTCGTTTCTGTTTTGCTCTTCCTCTTATTACTGTGTTTTTTTTTCCTTGTTTTTTTTTTCTTGAGCTTTCCCTTCATTTTATTTATCCTGAATTAGCAGGACCATCTCATTGGCATTAGAATTAATCGGGGGGGGGGGGAGGGAAGAAATTAGACTCCGGAAAAAAAAAGATACAGTCCGTTCTGGGGGTTTCAGTCTGCAGCCGCGTCCTGTGGCCCCTTTCCCAGAGTGCTTTGGGAGGAGTCTGTGTCCCAGGAGCGCAGAGTGTTGTGCTCCTCACAGCACACGTGTGCACACCCACGTACATTCGTTGTGAAAGGCTTTGCCTGCCTTTCCTAGTACTGTTCTTGGCTTAACCCTGACCAAAACTTCCACTTATAAATCCCTAGAACCTAAGTGGTGCCCTCAAAATAGAGGATAGAGGTCAGGGTGCGCTTCGGTTTTCCATTTTCTCTGTCGGGGAGGCGGGAGAGGAAGATGGGTCTGGTTTGTCCAGGCGAGTGAAGCACAGCTAGGTGACAGGAGTGGTGATGACCTTGGAGGTGACCCTCACGAAGGCCGCCTGGCGCTCAGCCCTCCAAGCACCCAGGATGCTCAGTGCCAGTGTGGTTCTGCGAGCTGGCTTCTGACGTAGACAGATAGATGCTGAGTCTGGGAAGACTGAAGGCTTTCTTCCTCCCTGCAGAGTCCCTTTCTGCCCCGTAGCAGACATCCATGGATCCTCTCCATCTCCTCTTCCTCTCCCCTCTCTCAGTGTCTTGGCACCCTCCTGTTAACGTTGCTTAGAAACACGTTTACGGAGAAGTCTGGCAGTACCGCAGCGTTCTCACATACTGCATTCTCACATACTGTATCGACGTGCTGCTTCCTCGGGGACTGTTGTGTAACCCATGCAAACTGGTTTATGTCCTTCAGGTTTTAAGGTGCAGTGGTGAGAACTTTCTGGTTGGCAATCAGCTGAGCCTTGCAGATGTGATTTTACTCCAAACCATTTTGGCCATGGAAGAGAGAATTCCTACCGTCCTGAGTGCATTTCCTTACCTCCAGGTAATTAAAATTGTCAGACCTCAGCCTTCCTTCAGTATCTATTCATGGTTGGCTTGGAGAGTGTGTGTGTGTGTGTGTGTGTGTGTGTGTGTGTGTGTGTGTGTGTAATTTTGTAGGGTGTATTTTATTGTTGAGTTTTAGATTCTAGTGAGTGAAATGAAAGTATAGACTTGAAATTGTTTCTCTGGCCCTCAGATCGTTAAAGTTGAAAGATTATTGTCATGTGAAAGTTTTCATCCTACCTAGTTGGGTGCCGTAAACTGCACTCTGAGAGGCCGGTGCATAGCGAGAGCTTGCAGGGAGGAGCCGAGCCACAGGCTGGGCATCCTCACCCGCTGATGGAGGGCAGGCAAGCTGAGCATGCTCACACTGCGGCTGCCTCTTCAGAAACACTGTGGCCTCACACCGGGAACACTGAGAGCAAACGCAGGGCACAAACATCACCCCATGGGCTCTCACTCTGCTCCACATATTTATAGAGAGTTGGCTGACATAATCATTAGGGATCTTGTTAATATCAGTGGCACATTTTTTGTCCCTAAGTGTGTGCTGAGCTTGTATCTTAAACTTAGTGGGTATTTAATATATAGTCACTTTTAAATAAATGGCCTTCCTTTTAAAAATATTTGATTGAAATGATTACATATGAAGAGTATGTCTTGGTATAGGTTAGAATTTTCAGTAGACAAAACTGGACTTTTCTCCTCAGTTACTGAGAATTGATAAGATTTGACCCTGAATGAAAAAAATAGATTTTTTTCTTTCATTCCAGCTGACATAAACATGTGACATCTGAGCCATAGGCTGTGACAGTCATCTGGTCACTCCCACTCAGACCCCAGAGGGGGCCTTGCTTGATAACAAAAGGAGAAAGTCCTAGGAAATGGAATCTTAAATATAAATTCTATCATCTGATGGCATTTGGTGGGTACAGTGCTGGTTCTGAACCCGGGCCTTGTGCTTGCAACACCTGCTCCCTGCCCCTTGAGTTATCTACATCGGATAGATTTCAACCACACTTTTGTGTGCAAATGGATCATGCATTTCTCTGCAGAGATCAGATCTCCCTATTTGCTCTTTTCTCCTTTTCTTCTCTTTAAGTATCAAAATCCTACTCTAAGAAGATGTTTTAAATGTTGCTAGTTCTAAAGAGAGTGACCGATGGATGATAGTTGCATAAACCTGGGCCCCATTCTGCAGCTGGTGGCCCACACTGCACAAGATCAGACCTTAAACAGATGCGGGGCTGTAATTCCGATTGGACTTGGTCGGCAGATATATATGAAACAGGTTTTGATGAGATGTTGGCACAGCCCCATTTTGTTACTTGTTCTTCTGTTGTTAACCTGGATCTTTTGTGCTTTCCTTTCTCAGGATTACACGTCGAGATTAAGTGAAATCCCTACAATTAAGAGGTTCCTTGAGCCTGGAAGCAAGAAGAAGCCCCCGCCCGACGAGCAATATGTGAAAACCGTCTACGAAGTCTTCTTGTCCTAGAGCAGCTCTGCTGTCCATGAATGGGTAGACAGTGCCCCCCCCCATAGAGTAGCTGCCCCAGCTCTGTTGCAGTGCTGTGTGTTAAATGGGTTGTAACTTGAGTCTCTCGTGTCAAGGTGATCTTCTCTCCTAAAATTATTATTATTGTTATTATTTTTTGTCCAGTGAAAACCTTTAGGGGATATGTATTGGTAAACCTTTTCCAGGGGGGCTGATGTTTGAGTTTGATCTGCTCTGGTTACTCACTTCCTGTAGCCGGTTCACACTGAGGCTGTGCTGTGGTAGGACCTTTTCTCACTGAGCTCCTTCGTTCTCTCTTTCTAGTCTGCCTTTCCATTTCTTCCTAATTTTTAGTGTTTAATAACAGTACAATGTCTAGTGAGTGACTCTGCTTTGAGCTATAATGGAGGAAATGGTGGTCATGAATGCAGTCAGTATTAACCCAAATAAAGAGTTTACTAATTATTGCCCTGATTCGTGCCTTGGCAAGGAGCTCTCTGTGAGCGTGGAGACATGGTTAGCAATCAGGAAGTGAGATTTACGGTGACTGCCTTCGGCCATGCCCGCCATGTCATACGGGGTCCCCGGCCTTGGGTCACCTGCCAGCCCATTCCTGCAGAGAATGCAATGAGCTCACCGGGGGTATCAGCAGCGCCCACCTGATGAAGCCCACATAAAAACTCCAGACACCACGGCTCAGGTGAGCTTCCACGGCTGTGGCTCGCCACTGACTCCACCAGAAGAGATGTTCCCTGTGTTGGAACCTGCGGGCTTGGCACTGTGCCTCTGGGCTGCCGTCATCTGTATCCTTCCCTGTAGAAGACGCTAGGCATGGCTTTTCAGTTTTGTGAGTCCTGGTTATGCTTCTGCCTGGAAGACTCGGGAAGCAAGCAGTTTCAAAAAGCATTCACCAAGAACACGTTTGTTAATAGAGTTATTTTTTTTTAAGAGAACTGGATCCAAATTACTCAGGACACAGTGCACCCCATCAAGATTACTTGTCCAAACACCAAATTTTGAGATACCCTAAACAGTTTCAGTGGCTGCCTGAGTTTAAGCCTCAAGTTTAAGAATGGCTTTTTTTCCCCCAGAGGCTGAAAGTTAATTCCCGAATGCTTACATTTGTCAGACCTGGCTATAAGACAGTCACTTTTCAAGAGTCACAGTCGCTGTTATATATGAAAAACAGCCGTTGAAGAATCATCCTGAAGGTGTTTACACACACGCACACAAATGTACAGAGAACGGTGGGTTAGGCCTTCCAGGGCCAACGCCAGGGGCCAAAGGAATAGTGCTCTCAGTTTATTTCCCCCCAATGCTTGTAAAGTAATGCGCATGAATAACACCTGTGGGCAAATCTCTAGGGCCAGAGGCCAGGGCGGCCGGGACGGTGGGCACGGGCCCGGCGGTGGCTTGGGCGGAGGCAGGGCCCGGCCAAGGTGGAGGCTCCCGGAGCCGGGTGGAGCGCTGCGGGCGAGGAGCCGGGCAGCCCGCACCGCTCTGGGTTCCGGAGGCCTTGTAGGAGTCCGGGGCCGGGCAGGGCAGGGAGGCCCTGGGGGCGGAGAACCTTCCAGGCCTTGCCCTGCTCCCAGGTGCTGGTCCCCGTGTTCGCCTCCACCCCCTCTGACATCATTTCCTGCGGCTGGGACGGAGCAGGGGCGGACCGCTAGCTAGCCGGAGTGGGACGGCCGAGAGGTCCTCAGTGCCGGGCCGGAGACCAGGCGAGCGGGGGCCGGGGGCAGAGGGTGCGCTCCGGGGACCGGGGGTGTGCCCCGGGGGCCGGGA